ACTGGGCCCACGGTTCTAGCGTCCTCCTTTTGATGTTGAAAACCTGGCGCAACTGGATTAGCTGGATACTGATGCCCTTCAGGAGGGAGTCGTGTGGGTGCGCTGCCCCAATGGCCCACAAAGCAGATGTGGCCACATATCTGGGTGTAAGCGAGCAACTTAGAATCTAGGCTTCCGGCTCCGGTAAGGAGTTTTTTGTGCATGGCGAAAGCCCCTCTGGCCACCTCAGCCAAGATCTGGGTGACTTCGCCCGACATGGCTATTGGCGCACCCAGCACTGTGACTGTCCCATCCCTTTCATTTCCCCTTCCACTTCCTCTTCCCGTATCTTGAGGACCTGTTTTCCTTCCTGGTTATGCACATACTTAGTTTTGACTGCATTGACTTGCAGGTTCCTGGCTCGAAGGCTTCTGACCATTACCTCAAGCTTTGTCTGCAAAAATGCTCTGTCATGACTCTAGAGGTAAACGTCGTCTTGAAACCCTCCCCCATTTGACGGCATGGGTGGCCCTCCGTCCGGCGCTCTGTCTCGGGCGGGTCCCACTGTGCCCGTGAGTGGGGACCGGTGATGTGCATGGGGGTGGGTGGGCTCGGGTTGGCTGTACTGGGCGGGAGGCCGAGCACCTCGTTCAAAACCTGGCCAACCATCGCCGCAAATGCAACAGGAGAATCAGGAGCGCCCTGGCGCACTCCATTGGATTGTTCCACACTGTGCACTTCATTTGCCACAGCCAGGTTAATGCGTTCATTGGCCAACATGTCAATCCAGGCTCTGGCCTCCCAGGGGCATCCTCCCCGAACCCCAACTGCTGTTCAACCATGGCTGCTAACTGGACCTTTGAGGCTGTGTCGAACGCTTTCGCAACATCTATCTTTACTAGGTGCAGCGGCAGGTGCCACTCTCAGCATGCGCGTACAGCTTTGCGGATGCTCAGGATCAGCTCGGCTGGTTGTTTGCCGGGTTGAGCATACTGCCAGGCTGCCCCTCGAAAGATGTGCTCTGTGGTTCTGGCTAGGATTAGCTGCGAGTGCCATTTTAGACAGGTTGACAGGGTGATGGGTCTTGTTGCGCTCCATTGCTTCGGGGCCGCTTCTTTCGGGATAAGCACTGTAACGGATTCCTTAATGTCAGGCGGCAGCTTACCCTTATAGAAGGCGTCGTTGAACTCCTGCAGTATGGCATGTTGCCATTGCTCGTCCTGGTACAAGAGCTTCAGCGCTTCGAAGGACACTCCATCAGGGCCTGTACTTTTTCCTCCCTTCCACTTTTCCATGGCCCTGGTCAGTTCTTCGGTCGTAAATGGTTCCCACGGTGTTTCCTTACATCGTCTTTCCAGCCTCTTCCAAATGTCTCTGACCTCTCTTCTGACCACTTTTCCCTCCTGTTTCTTGAAGATGGTTTCGAAATGCGTTTTCATGCGCTTCTGCCAGCCTTCTTCTTCCGTCAAATTCCCTACCCACATCACCGGTTTTCTGTGTCTCTTGACTGCATGTAGGGCATGCCAATTGTTGCGGAGGACTTCCTGGAGGAGCTCTCGGTGCCATTGCTCTTTACGCTGCTTCTTCTTCTTCTTCCACACTTCTTTCCACAAGGCCCTGGCTTCCGGTGTGCGTCTTTGCCTCATAGCCTTGGCTCTGAGCTGCCGGATTTCTCTGCTTTCCACATACCTGAAAGGGTTTTGCTTCTTCTCGGTGATGGTGAGCGCAAGCTTCTGGAGGTCTTTCACTCTGTCTCCTTTCCAAGTCCTGCTCTGTGCCAGGGCTCTGTTAACTTCTGACTCTTCTCTAAGCTGCCTTGCTCCATGCTGCATGGGCGGCGGGCCACGCTGAGGGGGTTTGTTGGATGTACGCATTCTGATGCCCACAGTCACAGCATCATGGTCACTAGATGCCAGGTGCCTGAGCTGATGTACTTTCCCTTGGCCCCCGTCTTCAATCCCGCCTAGGAAGACATAATCAAGGCGTCGGGGTCGGTGGAGTTGGTTGTAGGGGTGGTATGTCGGTGTCTCAATTTCTTGTTCAGGCGCAAGCATGTCCAGCTCGCTCAGCCACTGTAGCAGCAGAGCCCCCCTGGCAGTCTTGTGCTGGAGTGTGGACTAGTCATCCCTTGCAGCCCCTGCTTTTTGGAAGGTCTCGTTCAGGTCCCCAAGAGGATTTTGTTTGGTTGCTTCATGGCCTGCGTACTGGCCCACAGGGCTGTATGCTTGCCTGCCTCTGTCAATGTTGCTTTAGGCGGGAGGTGCGCATACAGGATTCCTACTTTCCCTCCTGGTGTCCGGATTGTGGCTGCTATGGCATCATCCTCAAGTCCCTTGTGAATGATCTGACCAAAGCTCCTTCTGACTGCAATCAGCCTGCCTCTCCATTCTGTTTTCTTTTTGCCCGCCACGATGCGCCATTCCCCTTGTCCTCGTCCCGTAGTTACCTCCATGATCCCCCGGGCAGGATACTTCCTGGAAAGCAACCACTTCAACTTGGCCGAGTCCTAGTGTCGGCAAGAGTTGCCATTCTGTCTGCGGGCATCCCTCCAACATTCCACGTCATGACTCGGACCTCTTTTTTGTCCTCATTGTTTAGGCTTCCACGCCCTTCCGTATTTATTCCCCTCACTCTGCTCCTGCTTCTCCCCCTCCCTTCTCTGCTTCGAATATCATACCCTGCTCTTCTGCGGTGCGGGCCTTCCCTTCTGCGCGTCCGCTTTTCCTTTCTTCGATGTGTGGTCTGCCGTTGCTGTGTCTGCATCCTTGCTCTACTGGCAATGAGGGACAGCTTGCTCTCTCCCGCTCTCGACTTGCACGGCTGTGCACTTGAGAAAGGCAGCTGACATCACACACCTCCGGGCTATTTTTGTAGTCCGGCACACGCCTCTCAGCCAAGCTCTCCGCTCCGTGGGCGGCCAGTCCAGGACTAGTTGCCGGGTCTGCCACCCCGCCGTCGCTATGATCGGGAAAGCTTGCTGACACCGCTTCTCGGGAGGGCACTGTCAATCTCTGACGAACGCTCCACGGGAGGTCATCCAGCGGGTTGTAGGGCTGTGCAGGTATTCGAGACGTTTCCAAGGATAGGTCAGGCAGCGGTCGCGGGTTCAGGTAACCTGGCCGTTTCCACTCTGTGCGATGTAGGCTCTGAATCCCGGGACTCCTCCCCAGTTTTCAGCACCTTCGACCTCAAAATCGGCATAGTGAATTCTGTCGGGCGGCCCTTTTGGGTTTCCAGCTCATTACCCCAATTCTCAGCCTCGAGCGGCTCATCTCAGTTGATCCCCTCCACCAGGCCGCGCCAACGGTCTGCGAAGGCTTGCGTCTGCTCTTTGGTATACTCGCAGGCGAGGCCAGCGTCCACCCATCCATGATCGCAGACTAAGATTTCGCATCTTCCCCTGAGGCCGCTAAGGGTCGTCGCCAGACCGCCGGCTGCCCCGCGGCTCCGTCCCTCTCGAGAACCTCCAACCTGCGCAGCACCTCTTGTATGGTAGCATCTTGGTCCCTGTATTTCTGCGCCTGTTCCTCCACCTTGAGTTGCATCTCGCCAAGCTGCTCACTCATAGCCTTCTGTCTGCGATCAGCGGTTTTTATCAGCTCTAGAGTAGGCCCCATTTTGGCTGTGACCTCACTCTCCATGCTGGTTATGCAGTCCTGGAGCTCTCTCATTCCTCCCGTGACCGGGGCCATGGTAGCCGCAAGCTGGGCCGTGAGCTGCTCTAGGGTAATGGGAACCGTGGCAACAGGTTGCGCACCAGGCTGCCCCACATCCCAGCGTGTCCTTTGGCGAGTCTCCATTGCCGAGTGTCCTGGGCTGGTTACGAAGGTCTTCTACATCCTCTTCTATCATTTGCACCGGTGTTGCCGCGGCGCGACGACTGGCCTCAAGCGTCCCCGGATCGACCTCTGGCGGCTGCCTCGTAGTCATAGACACCGCGCTGCAGCAAAGTCACCCGTCGCGGGCTAGACAGCCTTCAACTCGATCTCGCAAAGTTAGCCGGCAAGACACCCAGGGAGTCGTCAAGGCGCCGGCTCGGCACAGGGCTCTATGCTCCGCAGTCAGAGAAAGGAACAAGTTTCTCAGGGCACACCCTAGGAGAGCTCACAGCCCCTGTCTGGAAATGGCTGCCCGGATCACCCAAGCCCCTCCCGTCAGTGACGTCCACCCGCCGCGAGCGCGAGAAACCTCCACCCTCGTTGCGGGCCGCACCGAGGCCCCCAAGGAGCAAGCCCCCAGGAGGCGGCAGGAGACTTGAGCCAAAATGGCTACAGCCCCCTTCTTCTTCTTCTTCGGGCTATGTCGGTCTCTACAGACCGACCGGCGCACAACGCCGAGCCCAAGCAGGTTCAGTCGCATGGTCGGGACCGCCAGGTACACGGGCTCACAATCGGAAAGCTTGTGCACATACGACCATTAAAACCTACTTACCAGCTTTCCGGTTGTTCATCCTTTCCCACACACGGCTGTGACACTTGACAAAAGGCCTGGCCCATTCCCCTGTGAGTTCAACACGTTTACACAAGCAGAGAAAGCCAACAGAAACAATGCATCAGTGCTGAAGGATTAGATCAGCAACTCCCAATTGTGATGCACAGGGTGGCTCCTGTCACATGTCAGCACTGCATCCATGACTGCCCAAACTACCGCATCCCCTACCCACTACAACAGCTCACCCAGGGATCACATCTTGTGACGCAGTACCCTCACACAGCGTGCTCATGACGCTGCATGCACGTGCAGTGATGCCGTTGGCCGCAAGAGATTTTATTATTTGTTAAGGGGCACCATTACCCTAGACCAACCCAATCCCGAATCTTGCAGGGTGCTCTCTTGCTTGGCTGTGGCTGTAGCCCCCTCTCTCTCTCTCTCTCTCTCTCTCACAGGGTCCAGGAATCTAGGGCGTCTAGAGAATCTAGGGCACATGAGAGAGCGAATGCTTGAGGTTGCGTTCGTGCTAGAGTGTGTCCAAGCCCTGAATAAAATGCCTCCCCGAGCTTCTACTTCTGCATAGAAGCGGCTTTGCAGTTTGGCTCAAAGTCGCTGAGACAAATGATGCAGTTCTCTGGGAGCCTGCAAGGCTTCCTATGTATCTTCTGACCGGGCTCCTCATCAAATGGCCTGGAAGAGCTTTGCAGTTCTTGGAAGGTAGCAGTTGGTAACTTCTCCATGCATGCGCTTCGAACTTCTGCTCTGTGAGTCCGGACAGTTTCCTTAGTTGAAGCAAACCCCATTGCTTGCAAAAAGTAATCTGCCCTTGCATACCTTCAAACAATGCAGTTGCCATGGAGTACTGCCAAGTCACAAGCATCTGCTCCTGCATGCGGACAACCTTTGCCCAGGTGCAAGAGGCCAGCAGGACCTTGTGTACCAGCCATGTGGCAGCATGTCATGGAGCTTCAAGGTGCTGGCTTTTCGAGTGGGCTAGCGGCTTTGCCTAATGCAACCTCTGACCTCCATAAGCAAACCGGTGGCTTGCATCCATTGCTCAAGATCATCATTGGCCAGCAGTGGAATTCTCGTTATCCTACCTTCAGAATTCATGCGCCTCAGGCACCTGTGTGCACGGCAAGTGGCCATGACTACATCAATGGCCAGGATGATAAGCCCAAATTCGTGGCGTGTAGGAACTTTCGAGTGCCAGGTCATGGCAATAAATGTGGCGTGCAGCCCCAGGAAGATAACCTGCCGTGAGATAGCGAGCCACGCAGCACCAAATCAAGCAGAGATTTTGCGACTTGACTAAGGATTCCAAGACTACTGGCCTATCTATCAAGGTTTCTATGCAACAAGAAGGCATTTTGACCTCATCGGCCCACTTCTCAAGAGCACAGGCTCGCAGGGTGAACTAGCACGCTGAGCCTACGATGGGAGCTGCAACATTCATTGCTTCCGTTGCCTGGCCTTGATGACTAAATAGATAACCAGCATCGTTGACAGATCCTGAAATGCTGGGTGCGGTGGTGCATTCCGCACGTCAGAAATTTCTGCAGCAAAGCTTCACTGCCCCCTCTGGTTAGGTCGGCTGCAACCATGTGGAGTGCTAGCCAAAGGAGACTGGCTAGAGTAGCCTGGGTCTTTTCATGCTCACACAGTAATCAGAAGTAGCTAGCAAAAGCCAGACTCTGGCGTCTCAGGACGGGACAAAGGACATGATGGAGGTGATGAGAACCACGGTCGGGAAAGAGACGACAACGCCTTGAGATTCGCCAGCGCCATAGATGAGTCAGACTTCGTCAGACGCATGGAAGCTGGCAAACTTAAATTGAATCCAATGGGCCGTTGCAGTCCCGGCTGTTCTCCTCCTTGAATTTCCAGTCGCGGCACCTGGGTAGGCCGTTTAGGCAGCAAGGTCCGTGGCGTTTAACCTGAAGAGGCCTTTGACAGTCTGCGGGTCTGTGACATCCAAGGTGCAGGGAGGCCCTGTACCGCGTGTTGACCATCGAGCCCTCTGCCAGGATTGAAGCGAAACTTCCGAGAGCAATCACCTTCCAGCAAACGGTGCGGATGGGTCTGCGAGAATGCCATGTGAAATCACAATAAGGCTTTGACCGTGAGAACGGCAATGATTAACCGAACCTTCATCACATCTTTCCTGACGGAATCTTTACGCGCGGCCCGCTGATGCATGATCAAATACCTTTCGGTAGATAGTTCAAAGCTGATGCTGGATGCGCTGCGGCTGTAGACTTTTAGAAGCGGCGATGTCCTGATACTGGCCTGCTGGGCACCGTGAGAAGACCTGCAGAACTAGGGAGCATCCAGGGCTTGTTCTAATCAAGTTGGCCATGAATACCACGCTTGAATCTCTTGATCTTGAGTGCTTTTGCCACCCTGCAAATTGCCATTTACAGTCTTTCCAACCATAGAGAGGCGAGCATAAGCGGGCAGCACACATATTAAAGCTTTTCAATTAATATCTTAAGGATTTTGACACAGTCGTGTACATACCTATCGCAAAGATCCCCTGTGATCCTCCTCATAAGTCATCTGCCGTGGTGACGTTTTGGGGGAAGGGGGCTCGACTGCTGATCTGGGCTCCTACACGATAGTAAGACAAGGTCGCGGGTATGACAGCCCGCGCACCTTGTTGGTTGAGTCCAGGCTTCGGGACTCATACGGTGTCAACTCTTCAGCGAAGCGGCAGCTCCACCATGGCGTTTGCTGAACGTAAGCATACAGGAGTAAATGCAGACTATACATCTCAGTAGACATTTTCTATGCAGTATGGTACACTAGATTCTATGTCATTGCGTCTACAAGTGGGATAATGCTGCTTTTAAGCGACTGTTCTGCACCACCGCACAGGTATGTCTTCTCGGTCAGTTTTTATGGCAAAGGCCACCCAGAGCACACATCCGGGCGCTGCGGAAAGGCTGCATGTGCTGATGCTTTGCTGATGACGCTACTGCTAATGCATTCGTCGCATGCTGGCTGTACAAGCTGAAGCACTGGCCAGGATGCGCGCTGCAACGAGGAAAGGTCGATCTCCTGAAGCAGGCGTCGTAACGAGCTCATTTGTTGTGCTGCAGAAGCAAAGTCCGGAACCTAGCCAGGAAACGGCATTTGGGGCCTGCAAGGCTTTCTGAGCCTTTCTGTTAGTTAGATTGCACAATATCAGACATCAGTCCCTTCGGCTTGCCTGGCCTGAAGTTCAAGCAAGAACTCCCGGAGCTGCCGTTTCATGACAGTGGTCAGCTGTAGCCCTGCACGCAGCCGAATGCCGTGAAGTTTGTAATCATCAAGGTCACTGCTTGGACCTGGCTTTGCGGGGCGAGTCGGGAACTCCGTGCCACGAACCCGAAGGGGTGAGTCGGTGACTCGAGGCAATGAAGTCGGCAACATTCGGCAACCCAAAGGTGCGAGTCGGGAATCCGAGGGAGTAGCAAGTCGGGAGCCCGTTGGGGGCGGCATGACAGGACTCCCAGCGCAGTACAGGACACGACCAACACAACCACATCAACCCGATCAGACCAACACCACTGACCAGACCAGAACGATCCAACAGGAACGACACGACCACGACCAACATGACCTAGCGAGCGTTGGACTCATGGAGCGACGATATATTCTAATCAAAACTCACATCCTTGAACTAGCAGGGCGAGCCTTGGACTAAATGGCGCAAACCTTGGACTAATGGACGACTATTAATTGAAATCAGAACTCCTCACACCCCTGGACTACTGGGGCAAGCATTCAACTAATGGGGCGAACCTCACACCCTCGAACTAATGGGGCGAGCCTTGGACTATAATGGGGCGATCATGAAATGCAATCAGAGCTCCTGACGCCATTGGACTAGTGAGGCCAGCCTTGGACTAATGAGGCGAGCATTGGACGGATGGGGCAAGGCTTGGAAGAATGGGGCGTAGTCACTAATGGGGCGAGCCTTGGACTAATAAGACGAAGCTAGCCGATCAGCCGATCAGTCCATCAGCCGATCAAAACCGAGCCCACCAACACAACCAACAGGACCGACACGACCAACACAACCGCCACGCCCGCGGCGGGTTCCCGCCTCTTGCAGGTTTCCCACTCGCCACTTGCAGGTTCCTGACTCGCCCTTCGAGGTTCCTGGCACACGGGTTCCCGACATGCCCCTGCGGTGCTCTTGGGAGGGCAAGAGACTTGCAGGAGCACTCATGATCACTCAAGTTACTCAAGTTTGAAACCCAACCCAGCTAGGAAACCAATTCAATTTCCCTGCTTCCGAAACCTTGGCGGAAGCATCGTTGATAAGGGCATGTTCTTTCTATGATGCTATGCCTCTGTAGTCCTAGGCGATCAGATTGAGGGCCCAGAGAAAAGGAGTATGCTCTGGAATGCCTGAACCTCGCCAGCCATGCAGCAAAGCGGCAACCTTGTTACAGGAAATCAGTTCCGGAATGCTAGGACCGAAGGACGGGCAAGCCAGTTGGTGCTGTAGATCTGCTGAGAGGCATGCGGACTTGGCCGCGCCATCATGCGCAGCGGGAAACCGGCAGACCTCTCACGGCTGGAAATGATCACGTCCTGCAGCACTTTGGAACGATCGTGGAGTACTTGCTGAGTTCACAGCCTCCGCTGCAGACAGGAGAGCCTGTTCTGAGGGGGGCATGCCACACTACAGGTACACGTTCTGCTTTGGGATCTGTTTTGGGAGTGCAAGCCCTGCGGAGTAGTAAAAGTCATTTGGAAGATGGGTCATACTTTGCACGCGGCTGCTTTCTAGTTCAAAAGCGAATCTGTTCTTCCTGCAGCATCAGGAACCGTTGGTGGCAGATTGACAGACTGTGAAGGAACTGGAAGCCTTCATCACTGCTCGACAGACAGGATTCCAGAAGCTAGTTGTGGATGCGAGACGTTGACGTTACGCTTCACGAAAAACCTGGCTTTAGTTCCCAAACCTCCCTGTGAAGCCATCTGTGACTAGCCAACTGCCTCCAACACGTTACGCGGTCGAATGCCGGCATCTGCCTTGCTGCTCTGCTCAGCTGTTGGAGCGGCATGCCGACAGAGTCTGACACTCACCCCTGATTTGCACCCAATCGGCGAGAGTCTCCAGTGTTGCAGATAGGTCGTTGAAGGACCTCATCAAGATTCGTCTATAGAATGTGCGCAAGATCATTGTGAAGGCTACCTGGTAGCCTTCATAATGATCTCGCGCACAGCTACCCTGCAGCAATCTTGATGGGAGCGCTTCGCCGCTGAAGCGGCTACAAACTGTGGGCGGAGTCCTTCAGAATGACTCCAAGCCGCCTTAGTCTCCCACAGCCAAACCTCACACAGATAACTTTAAAGAATTTGTTCAGGCAGTGGCCTCAGAATCGGGTCTAGCACAGCTGCTGGAACAGACCTGGCCAAGGGTTTTGTTGTTGCTGCTTGCGCTTTGCAGTTTAGTGCAGGCTAAAGTGTCAGCTACACCCCACGGTAGAGCCGCCTCTGAATCAATTTGCATGTGCATGGAGCATGAGCAGCTGCTTTCCAGCGCGTGCCTTGCGGCAGCAGGCCAGCATACCTGGCTAACCTGACTTGGACCAGGCATGTTGCACTGATGACATTGTTCGCCTGCACTGTTGCACTCTTGTTTTCCAGCTATCAAGAACTGCAACCTTCCCATATTTAGCTTTCTTTGTTGACTGTACAGGCAAGAAACAGTCGGGCAGGACGCGCGCCGTCTTGCCTTAGCTGTTGGCATCTATTGGCCTGCCCAAAAGCCTGCGATCAGGGAATGCTTCCTTTGCCTGAGCATGTCACCTGTTCTTCGAGAATGCCAGCGGCTGCAACTCCTGTGACAGGTGGTTCTGTGTCCTCTCCGCCAATTCTTCCTACCTGGCTTCTCGCCCAATTTATCTCGCATGGCCTCTAAGAGGAAGTCCTGCAAGGACCTTACTTGGAAGCTTGAGTAATCTCGTTGAACGCTCGCTACCGTAGCTGAGGTAGACACTGGCTACCAGATCCTTTGGCGGGAACATCATCCTGATCTCCTCAGGCAACGTGAAGGCTGACAAGCGCCGCAATCCCCACCTGGTGCCTTTGCATGTCTTGCTTCTGGCCTGTGTCAATGTTCGCGGATGTTCGCAGTATGCGTTTGGAGGCGAGAGCCGCGACAGTGCTACGCACTAAATCTCGACTCGATTTCCAATTAACTACGTCACGACATCTCATGGGCAAGCCTGGCCGGTAAGCATTTCCTTTTTGGCAGCCCCTTCCGGCGCAAAAACATGATGCTTCAACTTCAAAGCTAGAAACGTTCACAGCTTCAGAGGATTGGGGGCACCCCGCTGCACAGCCTGCTAGCTGAGAATCATGGGCAGCCAACAGGCCATGCGGCTTGGCAATGTCAATGAATCACAGGTTGATGCTCCTGGAGATATTGGATTTCAAGTCAAGTTGCAGCCCACTCTGGGCTTGCGGTTTAGATGCGCTGCTGAAACACGCGTACAATACCGGCAACACGCACAAGTCCCTTTACTCGTGAACTGCCCTAGCACGTGGCAAAGTAAGCAAGATCGCAGCCCGAAAGGCTGAAAGCAGAGGGAAATCTGCAAACTTCTCGTGACGCGCTGTCAGCGATCAAGGACCTCATACCCTCTGTTCCCAAATCTGGGGCAGAGTGTGCTGATGGCATAACGCGACGACTGCATGCCACATCCCGTCAGCATCCTGACTTTCTTTCTGTGTGCCATAGCTTCTCTTGAGTGCTAGCTGACCGAACTTGTGCATGCAGCAGTGCAGCACATCGCCTTCCAGATCGACGTCTGGTGCTGACTCCTGAGCCAGATCTGAATGCTAGAGGGCTTTGAGTGGAGACTGAACCATGCACTTTGCCTGAATGTTGGCCGAGACTTGCCTGAGATCTGCAAGGGCAAGCTGGTGCAAAACTTGTGGCATGCGCATTTGCATCTTGCATCGCATTTGTAAGATTCACACGCTTTCAAGAGCGACCTCGGAAGACAAACTTCATCTGAGCTGACTGGAGCAGAGTCTGTTAGTGGGGAAGCATTGCTGTCTGCATGTCTGGGGCTTCCAGCGGCTCGGGGACAGCAGCAAGCGCAGCCGTCTGTGCAAAAAAGTGTTGACACTTTGATTTACAGGCACTGGCTACGCTGTAGTATCGATGGAGCTATGCTTGCGGGAAGGAAAGCTGGCAATGCAAGCTTAAACGCTCACATAGTAATGCAGAAGGCGCTTCTGCAGCTCACCTTGAAGAACTCTCGCGTTTCTGCGGCAAGCACATCAAATGGCACCGCCTTTCAGTCACGGTGCAGAGGGGGTGGCTCACGCTCATTCTTCGAATTTGCTGAGGACATTGCTGTATCAAGCATTCCGGCTCTAGCAAAAGGCAGGGCCTCAACTGATGGTGCCCAGCTCTTCCGCCCATGTTTGCGGACACGCTGATGACACGCGGCTCTTGCACGATCTCGCAGGCTGGGTCTCATACGACGTCCTGTAGCTGCAAAGCCGGAAGCTTCTGCGCGTGCCTGAGATAAGTTGCATCATGATAACTTCAACAAGACAAAGATGCGACTCCAAGCTAGCAGCAGCTAGCAACTCTCGGTCTGATGCATCAGTAAGGTCAGCCCCACTTGCTCGTAGAATGCAGTTGCCTGCATAACCAAATGCGACAAGGTGACACGCAGAATTCTGAACACCGCAAAAGCTGCGAGAGCTACAACGCTAGGCATGACGCATCTGACTCTGTCTGCCAGTACCCACCTGCGTCTGAAAAGATACAGGGCACTGCCTGAGTGAAAGCCCCTTGCCTTGCACTAGGTATGTGCATGCTAAGGGGCCAGCAGAAACAGCAACGACTCCGCACGGTGATTGCCTGAGTCAAATACAAATCGGCTTCCTGTCAACAATAAGAACCTGCATATCTGCTGCAGCATTGCTGCCTGACGCACTCTCCTTGCATTCGGCTGCTGAAGCGTGAGAAGTGCCTGGCTCCTGACGCATAAGCGGGCAATAGTCCCCCCGCCGATTTTTTAGGCTGTGTTTGTTAACTGCAGCATGGACCAGGAAAATGTTCCGGTATCATTGTTAGCATCTTTTCTCGGCGCGAGCAGCCGCTGTGGCTATGGTCTGGTCTTTGATCGCGCGATCACATCGCGCCGTGTGAGACATTTCGGTCTGGAGTACCTCGGTGGGAACGATGGACATGTTTCTGCAGTACCCTGCCCAATTTCCCCTGCGTGTTGAGACTATCAGATTATTGTTCTTCAAAAGTTGTTCCCGGCAAAACAGCGCCAGTTCGTCGACCAAATGGCGGAGGAGGGCAATCAAGAAAAGATTGCCCATAAGCATGGCACAGACATGTAGTTGTGTCGGAATTGGTGTTGCTTCCATTCTACGAGTCCATGGGCCTGGTGTCCGGAGCGAAGGGTAGCGCATTGCAGCACGAAACATCAGAGTGCCAACAGCGAAATTCATCCTTTCGAATTTCGATCCTCAGGGTCAGCCTCTTGCAGTGACTGCACGAACTTCGATGCGCTCAGCGCTGACCCAAAACCGGGCGGGGGCAGCAGCATGACGTAGGAGCTGCAGCAAGCGTGAAGGCGACTCAGAGCTTCTAGGGCATACGGAGTGCACTGGCAAGCTAAGCATCGCTCGGCCAGATTGCTGTCCGCAACCATTTCTGAAACAAGACACTGCCTGCCTTTGGCCAGAACAGGCCATTCTTCGAGCTGCACGGCAGCTTTGGTCTTGAAGTGCCACTCTGTCGTCTGATCGTGTTATCACGCCAGTGCCAAGTTGCCCATCATGACCTGCAAAACTCCTGCATGTGATTTCAAAAGCCCGATGCCTTGCAACAGAGATGGCGTGGTGTGTTCTTTGACCAGGAAATTCTCCTTGCAACTTGTTTTGGGCAGTTGGGTCTCGGGCTGTTGGGCCATAGGCATGAGAGAAAGCAGCGACGCCTTCCTTTTGCATCGGAGGTGCTGCGCCCAGTCGCTTCACTGCTACGCGGAGCTAAGCGTGGCCCTTCGTAGCTGTCCGGGACCTGGAGCAGAATGCAGCGTCTGCACTTAGCAAGAAAACTCTCAAAAAGACCAAGCAGAAAAACGCAGCAAATGTTTGTGACCCATATGCCCGCGAAAAAGTAATCTGTGCAGTACGTAAACCATCCCGTGAAATTTGACTTCATGCAGAGGCTAGGCAGAGCAGAGTGCTGCTGCTCCTGTGAGCTGCTGGACTACAAGCTGCCTCGTGCTTGCACGAGTATGCAGCCCACTGTAGATGTCAACGATATGGAAGCGATAGCTCATGACGCTAGTAAAGCCACGCGTGCGCAAGCACATTTGACACCAGGCCTGATGAGCGAGCGCACAAAGGCATCGAAGCACCTGAGTTGTGCAAAAATCTTTAGTTTAGCTAAGTATAGCACGAGGATCCTGTCTTTATATCATCCAGTCAGGTGACACTTCGGAAGTTTTTGCCCTCGGCGAGGTCCCCGGGAACGAAAACGCTATTGGCCATGCCTTCTCTGCTGCATGCCTGGACGAACTGCCTCAGACATCAATGGACTTAGGATGGACAGCGGACAGTCTCACAGCAGCAACAAATTGTGGACCTAAGATAACCATGGCAAGCAAGAAGCGTAATGTTCGCCACTCGTCTGAACAGCACATTGGCTGCAGCGCCTCGCAAGCCAGAGGGCCAGGATGCCGTGTCCTATCTTGTGAATCATGTGAATCCAGAGCTGGTAGCCTCGAGCGATCCCCACAATTCGTCCAGGCCAGATTGCATTTATCAGATCGCACAGAACCTGCCAGGCATTTCTGCCAGGATTGACTATTCCGATGTTGCTCAGAGCAAGTGCACGCGCACGTGCGGGCCTCGCCAGACTGCAAGGCATCCTGCGCATAGCAGTGTTAATTCTGGCAGACACAACACGGCAGATCCAAACTCAGATAGGGTTCCTGCAGCGACCCCCTTCCAGCCTTGGATTTTGCACATTAAGTCACTGGGTAATGCTGCGACCCAAACCATGCATGCGCCTGTCAAATAAACATAAAAAAGGAAGCCACGGCAAGCCGAGAATCTGATGCATGCCCGGCACCTGCAGTTCCCAAGTCCTACCTCTTGCTTCATTTCACATCTCTGCTGCAGATTTAAGGAAGGTGCCTGGATCTCCGGTGACCGCATGTATCCATGCAGCCAGACGCAGCTCATCCTCTCCTGATAAATCCGCAGGGAGCGCCATCAAACAAGGCCATGTTCCATCCTTGGAACAGACTCCATCAAGTGGTTTGCCAAGCGTCGAAGCTGTTGCTCCTGGTGTGCCTGGATGGAATGGTCGAGTACCTCCACGTTGCCATAATGGAGTCGCTCGGCGGCACCCGAAGCGGACTGGCGGCCAACTGGGTGAGCAATCTACTATTGCCATTCTTATTACTCTCCTGCTATTACTCCTATATTTTCATGTTACTGTATTACTATTATGTTACTATATAACTACTATCTTACTATATAACTCATATGTTGCTATTTTACTACTGTTCAGGTCTTTGGGGAGCCTGAAGCCTGGCCTTCGCCTCCAAGCGATCGACGGGAACAGATCGCCTCTGCCCGTCGGCCTCCGTACCATAATTAATATAATAGCAATCGAATAGTAACATAGTAACATACCAATATAGTAATAATAGTAAAAATCGTAATAACAGTAAGAATAGTAAAAATAGCAACAATAGAAAAATACGAATGATAAACAGTAGTGATATAAGTATTAATATGGCAATATGGCAATAGGGCCGTATATAGTAGTAATGGTAGTAGAAAGAGTCGGCCTTCGCCTCCCAGCGATGTGGCGCTTTCTCTGCTGCCAGGCGCTGCTTCTCTTCGATCTTCCTCGCCTGACTGCGATAGTAAAAATAGTAAAATAGAAATAGAGTAGTAACAATAGTAATGATATTAATAGAGTAGTAATAATAGTCTAGATCCATCTAGAATCAGCAAGCAATGCACGGAGTTGATCCAACATTTGCTGCTTTGCTTTCTTGACCGGCCCAGTTACGTACTCCACCGCCACGCTCCCTTGGAAGGAAATCACCTTCAGCGCCCGCACGTGACTCACGAATAGTGGTCACCGAGACACCGAGATATCAGTCAGAAAGATGACGAAGGGCTTTGAACATCTGGTGTCAACAGAGAATAACAGAGAGGCTGCCCACCTTGCCTTGTGAGCTGGTGAAAGGAAATTTCGCTTTCTTCTCCGTGAAGTCGCCTGTGCCGGCACTGTGCAAAGCTAGCATGGCATTGAGCTGCAGCACGCATGGCCTGCCCTTCTGCTGCATCCTCGTCAACATCTTCCATTTCGTCTTCATCTTCTTCCCCTGCTAAGCTGCTAAGTCTACGCATAGTGCCTGCATGAGAAACCAAGGTTGCATGCCAGTCTGCGCCTTGACTGACACCTCCGTCATCGTCTGAGAACTTGTCCTGACCTTGCACCCAGGTAAAGCTCAGCTGAACAGCTCCATGGCTTGGCATGTGCTATGTCTCCAATGCAGCAAACAGAGCCCCTACCTAAACTCCTTCAAGCATCAGCATGAGACGGCTTGAATGTTTCACGACCCAGCTGTGTTGATTTCCAATTGGATCCATTTGGCAAACCGGCCCAAAGTTATTAACGACGGAACGTCATGTATCAAGCTATGATTTGACGCAGTGCTGACTCTTTTTTTGCACCCTGATTGGGCAAGACCATGTTTGGCGTAATGCGCATGCAGGCAAGCCTTGTAATCACTGAACACACAGGCGCACGCGGCCGCAAATTCAAATTTGGTTCCGGGTTACCCGAGAAGGTCGGGTCACATGCAGAGTGAAGCTCCTGGGTGTGCCTGCTCCATTGCTGGAGTTTGCCAGGCAAGCTTCTTCTGGATTGGCAGGCGCGCTTGGAACCTGCAATGAGGGCTCAAGTTCACTCAAGCATACCAAGGGCCATCGTCCCCCTTACACGCCCCACTGCTGGCCTTGGGCATGCACTCTAAGTCCGCTTCGGTCGGTGCCCGGATCTGGATGCATACTGGATTTCCAGTTGTGCCATCTTGAGCCACACCGACCGCCGCAACCTCCGCTAACAACAAATCCAACAGTGACGCAAATGAACTGCCGTGCAAAGCCCCAAATGGCCTGCCAGAGTGAGCCAGGCTCGAGATCAAAGCGGTGCGTGAGTTCTTGACTCTTCGAAGGATCCATGTCAAGCTCCAGGAGTCTTTCCTTGCTAGTTCTGTTCTGCTCGTGCAAAGACAATGTACTGAAAGCACAGCAGTCTGATAAGAATTTCTGCTTCTGGCCCGCATACATGTACCAACTCCACGGCCAGTGAGCTCTGCATATTCTCTTGTTGTTGCCTTCAAAGTGTGATTACATGTTTCAACAGATAATCTGTGCCTGCTGTTCCGCACGTAGTCTCATGTACGCGCGCAAAGTTGGTGCCAAATCGTTTGAAAGACTTCAATTGATGAATCTCGGGCACTCCTTTGGCACATCTTCGGACCCTTGGTCATTGGTGAGCATCATGTAAGCCATCTCTTCCTGTCTTCTGATTCCCTCGTCTAGGCTGAGGTGCCGATGTGACGGCATGATGTTGTGTGTGCATTCAGGCTGCAGCATCAGACCAGACCAAAGGCAGTGACCACGTGTGGTGCCAACGACTTCTAGCCAGAGCTCCCACGGCTGATCCTTGGAGTCCAGACTTGGATGTGCCGGATATGGCCCATCTTCCTCCAGGTGCTCGCCATCTTGGAATGGCCGCAGCGCTAGTCGCACCTCATGCCAAGAGAAAGGGGGCAGCAATGCTTGCGTATGCTCCATATCGGCCAAGGCACAGAACATCGGGCGGGTGCATCTGCCCGTATCACAACCTGCCAAGGAGAGTTGAGAGCGGACAGCGTTTCACGTATCATCAAGTGGCTAGCCTCAACGCCTCCAGGATCACCTGTGAGCCGCACTCGAACCTTCCGGCTGTATTTAGCGGAATAGGACTGAGCCCCGTGTGAAGGTTGGCAAAAGATCCTTTTGACCTGCCCATGTAAGTACCTAGAACCTAGAACCTCGAAAGTGTGGAAGCTCTGACTGACAGATACTAACAGCACCGACAACAAGGAGACACGACGATGGCAACAGCAAGAACTCAATAGCAGGGGCACGCTGCAAATGATCGCGGTGGCGGTAGAAGTAGCGGCATCGATTTCCCGGTGCACAGCTCGACGTGCGCGAGGGGCATTGAGAAAATCCAAGAGAGCATCACTGCCGAGCACTCCTGCAACGCTGCATCTCCTCTTGTCTCGACTTTCGCTCACTCACAGCTAGCATGCTGCTCACATCTGATCACAACACTCTGGTCGTTGATAGCAAACAATGTCTTCAGGTCAATGGCTGACATGATGCTGTAGTTGGCGTTGGATGTTGCTTCCACGGCAGATGTCTAAACCGGAGACAAAGGCAGAGAACAGGATCAAAAGTTACGTGCATTAGCAATGGCGGCCAGGACGTGGCTATGACATGCGTAACTCATTTGAAACGTCCTGACTGTCCAGGTTTCGTGTGCGGCGCGCACATGCAGAGTTTGCGCTGTGACATGGCGGCCGGCCCAATCATTCCAACACTTGATCATTCCAACACTTGACCTGGCCTTTCGGGAAAATGGTATGGCACTTCAGAGAACCCAGGACGCCAGGAAGTTGATTTTGGGTGGGCCGTTCAGGCGGTCTTTTTCGGAGGCCGAGATGATTTCTGAATGCACCTGTGCCATCTGCGAGGTGTGCGCGATCGTGCGACATCCTCTGTGCTTGTGGCGAGCTGGCTGAAGCAGAGTGAGGCGTTCCAACCACGACAGGGAAACATGATGACTCGCCATACGAAGGCTAATTCTCGCCACGGCATACGTTCTTTCAAAAAAAGGCACCATGCATGGTTGTTGCATTGCGCTTTGCTGCGCTCAACCAAACTTTTCCACGAACGGCCAAGCCCTGAAGAGCTTCAAAATGAATACTCCCAAGAAATGAGGGGTTGGGAAGCGAGAGGGCAGGCCGGGAGTACACGGCTTGGGACTGTGGATCTCCTCAAGTTCTTAAATTGCATACTGGAGGTCTGAAGGTGGAGTGGCAGTCAGAGAATACAAGTTTTGTGCAACTTGCATGACCAACAGCAGTGCAAGACCGTGATGGGACTTTGGGTGCCCAAATTCTCTCCAAAATGAGGGGGCAGCATGGCCAGCAGTTTTGGGTTGATGTTCCGTGATCCTGGCTGAGCTTCCTGCTTTGCCTGCTTATGGCCAATGCTGGTCATGATGCTTGAATTTTCTTGTCTTGTCTGTGTGACTGTCCTGGTGAAAACTTCACACTTGCCTGCAGGTTCCGGACTTGCCTCTGTCACTGCGAGCAAAAATACGTCATAGTGACAAAAATGGTGCCAGCACCCTATTGGCTGAAGCAAGTTCCCATCAGCTGCCTCATGTGCACTCCAAGGTCGCCTGGGATCCTACCTCTGAGACGATTTAGACGGGAGGTGACAACATATTTGAATGTATCGATTGGGCATCGGTCCCGCCATTTTCAAATTGGACACCCCAGGGATGATGCACTCTAGCAGGCAGAATCCACTGCATGCAGGTTCATTGGGTCATGCTCAAGCATGTCGCACTTGCACCGGGGAAAAACCACTCCATTGACATTGCCTTGAACGCAAAAGATGGAAAATGCCATGTGGATCCCCTGTAGCAACCTTTCGAAGCAGCAGCTCCTTCCATGTCCAGCAGCCCCACGAGGTATCCTGCAAGCTTTGCAAGGCCCATGGCTGCTCTGCTTTCTGTCTGTCTCATGGCGATGCGGACCCCTGGTGCGGTCCGAACAGTTTGCCGTAGCGTTCTTCCATCCAGTCACTTCTCGCTCCATCTCCCCCGAAGACTTTCTGCCAGAATGGCTCCTGCAAGGATGACTAGACATTGGCTGCCGTTTCGGAAATCACGCTGGTTGGCGCTCCTTTGGAGGAAATGGTGGGAGTTGCTTGCGGTCGAAGAGCTCCAGCAATTTGACGTGGCATCTGTCCAGCGCAAGACACTGTGAGCTGGATTCTAAGGCTGAATCTCGAATTTTCTGCGTCGGGAGCACACATACACCCGTGATGAGAACAGGGTGCATGGCAAGAAGCAAAGGATACGGTGTCAAAAAGCACTGAAGTTGAACTGTTCTGTCGTGTGCATTTCGCACCGTCTTCTTCCTGCAAGTATTGGCATGCCTTAGCCTTGGACACCGTGGCATTGGTACGATGCGCAGATCCCAGCACAAAGAACACAAACAAACCGGCCTGAGAAACTCGCTGTACCTTCGAGCCACGACCCAGCATTCTTTGCCGTTGCTAAGCTGCAAGCTGTACACGACCTCAGACACATCATGATGCCAAAGGGCTGCCTACACAGCAGTCCAAGCAAGTCGATTGTTTGCAAGCATCGCTCAAGTTAATAACGGCCAGTCGCGGCCGAACCTGTCGTGCACATACGGAAGTCCAGTAGCCTGACGGCCTGGCCAATCAAACGTGTAAGTCGACTTGCAAGACGGTCTTGCGACGACTGGGGCCACGTCTGTTTCGGACGTGGCAGTCATCGATGCCAACCTTTCAAGTAATCCTGAGGTTGCAACAGTCGCAGACATGTACCACTTGCTCAGCCTCAAATCTTGCAAAGCTCGTGCAGTCGACCCCCCTCTCCTCACAGGTAGGGCATGAAACCCATGCAGCCACGTCATTGCAGCGACTCTGTTGCTGTGCTGTCCGAAAAACTCCCTGTCGCTTGTTCGCACTACATATCGCTACATGCTCTGGCGAAGTGTTTTCGACAAAGTGCTTCTGGCTTCATTCAGACTTGTTCGGAGGCACTGCTATGGAGCAGATTAGTGCTTGCAATTGCTTGTAGGATCTTGGGCAACTCCAGTCCTGTGTACATGGCCGATCAGCCGACGTGAAGTACGTGGCAGACTTGAGCCAGCAATGCTCAGTTGCAATGTTTGAGAATGGTCATTGGCACGGTGCTGACTGGAATGCTGTAGTGCCTGTCTCAGCTCCCACGTGACACCTGTGGCATATGTTGGTAACGCGTAGCCCGGTCAACTTGTTGGGCCCGGGTCAAGTACCGGCTGGTGCAGAGCTGGCCTTGGGGAAATGTCGTCGCAGGGCCAGCAACTTCTTCTGCTTACACATGGACTGTCTGAGGCACCAGCATGATCTAAAGCCGCAAGCACGTGGATCAGGCAATCCATGGGCACCTGGTCCAGAGACCAGGTGGATGAAGAAAAATATCCAGTGGCTAAGCCGTCAATATTTCAATATGCACATCTTGTGGCAATTTTACTCCTGCAGCACACCCGTACAGCTACACACCTCACCAGGCAACACAAGGTGCTGGGGGCCGCGCCGTTGACAAACCTGGCATGGCTCAGATAACCGCAAAATTCGCTCAGAGGGATCAAAATACAAGAGCGCGCAAGTTTTTGTCACGTGGCCCTCCATCGCGAGCTCCATACTAGCTCACGCTACTCTTGTATGGCCTTGACCTTTAGGACGTGGTTTTCCTGGCAGACATGCATGTAGTCATGCACAAGGACACGAGCTTCAGTTGATGGCCTATCAATGTCAGTCTGCCTGCATCTTGGTAACAGGAACGTACTAACTAGGGTCCTGGTCCCATGTTTCCACTGCACCAGGACGCGCACTACGTACTCGATGCAGTGCTTCTTGAGGATCAGCAACACCGAGTTCGATGAGCAAGCGTGCAGCAACAGTACCTCTGCAAGACCGACATGCCGTAAGAACAGTACACTGGCGGTCTTGCTCGGGTCTTGTTTTGGGCAGTCCTGCTCGGCCAATCCCACCCCGACAGTGCACAACTACTTTGCCACCATCACGCAAGATCTGCCTCACCTGCGTGCATTGCAAACCACAAGCAAAACACGCGTGTCATTGAGAAGACATCTAGCAAAGAGCTTGGAAAACAGTTAACGGCAAGCCAGCCAGAGTAGCAGAGGGAGGAGTGGAGGGGAGATGTAGAGAGCGAGAGAGCAAAGATCTCTGCATCTCACCTGCGCACCGTCGCCACGCTGAACCCAGCAACCTAGCGATCGGGCAGCATGCTATCATAAGTGCATCTCGCATCACAGCACTTAGATCATGTCAGCTGCTGTTCCGAAACCTTCAAAGAACATCCCTGGTGCGCTGAAGTCGGGCACTGGGCAATGAAACCACGTCATCTTGCGGCCCTCTACAGCTTTCTTCATATCCTGCACGCTCAGCATGCGAAGCTCGTCATCCTGCGCCATGCATTCTTCCAGATCAGCATGCGGGCAAATGTCCTTCTTCCCTGTAAGTAGGATTCAGGATTGAGGAATTACGGGTACGTGCGGCTTTAAGGTCCTTTGCGAAAGCTGTTGCAGCAATGGATCGCAGATATTGTAGCTGCATCATTACAGCGAAGTGGCCTAATTGGCTCGTCGCTGACTACGGACCGTCCTGAACCAACGTGACAACTGCTTGAGCACCCCAGGCTTTCACAACATCCAGGTCTGCCCCCAGATCCCGCTGTCGTTTTCCCGGACATGGCGTGATTGCCTTAAACGTCGCTTTGGAACAGCAAGACCTTCCAGCATCTAGCAGAATCTAGCCTTAGCCCGATGCCACCTGTGCTGAAAGCTCTGGAATCTCGACTATGTACATTTCCAGAGTCGGATACCGCCCGCGAGCAGCACGTGAAGTCGCCACCAGCCGCTGCAACTTCCGAGGTGGAGATTGCAGACTCGGCCGGTGCCCCACAAATCCTCATAGACATGGGGATCATTATCATCGTTATTCAAGCTCGCAGCTAGTAAAGACTAAGCCGAGTAGTGGCAGCTGAAACAACTCAAACCTCCTTGCATGTCCTGGCAGACAGTCAATCGTGGCCAACGCGCACGCGAGCACATATAGGCCAGCGCCACGCAGCATTGGTATTCTGTATGTTCTCTTGCATTAATCTCCACTGTGGGGGAATTGCGGGGCCGCTACTATGTCCCCAACAATTGCTGCTTGAATGGCCCCATGTTCGCATGCTGCCAGCAAGCTGCTGCTACCTGCAACTCAGATCGCCGAGTCAGGAAATTCCAGCGGTAGCCAGCGCACATACGAAACGGCAAACTTGTGTGCTGGCGCAAACTCATGCCAGGGGCACCATTCGCACTCAACTGGCTCAGCACCTTTGCAGCACGGAGTAATTAACAAGGAAGGCCGGCAATTTTGTCGGGCAGCCAAGGCGCCCAGGAGAACAGGTCGATGTCAAAGTAGCCCAGCACCTTTGAAAAATCTGATGCGTGCGGCGTGCGGTCTGTTGAGTTTGCCCAAGCTCAAGCCAGCACGAACTTGAAAGTTCCGAAGAATGGCAGGTGTCAAGCGTATGGGGGTCCCTCCAAATGGTCTCAAGCACATGCAGAAGTTTGCAGTTTTCAAAGAGTACCAAGTGTGCGCTCAGCCTTCCCTCGAAACCGCCAAGGATTCTGTCAAGATCCATGAAAGCCATGAGCCGGCATTCCAGGCTTTTGGCTCTACATGTTCATCCACCCGTCACTTCCTCATCCACGAACCATGAACGCAGGGGGATTGTGATCATCGAAACACGCAGCGCAGACCCCAGCCCAATGCATTCAAATGGCAGCAGGCCATTGAATCTCTTCCAGTGTCAGCTTCAGCTTGCAGACCATTTGCTCCCGCGCCATGGCCAGCAGACTGCTGACGTTAGCAGCCATCCCAATGCAAAAAACAAACCAAGGAGCTTCTTTTCCGCGATTTCATGGGACAAACGAAGCATCAAGTCCATCTGTTGGGTACACGGCCAACGATGTCAACTCAACACCCCTTGCTTTGACACTCTCATGTGAGGAAGCAACGGCAGGCGTCGAAGAGATGTCTTTCCAGCGAGTGATCCGGTTCGTTCAGCAATCCGAGCAAATGCGAACAAAGGAGGCGGAAAGCCGCCAGGCACGCAATCTGGTTTGGCAATTTCTGCCATGGCCGCAAGTTTTGATGTACTGAAATCAGCCAGGCGGTGACAAAGAGGAAGAAGGCTGCGGAACAATAAGGACTTTAGCTTCATGGTTGAAGGCACGCACGGGCTCCATCTGATCCGGGGGTTAGAAAACTTCCTGAAAGGAATGCGCGAGGCGCTTTTCCACCAGCCAGTTGATGGGATGCGGCTTTTGATGAAGAGCTGTGTCTCTGCCCGCAAGGAAGGGATGTTTCACTTGCCTGGTACATGTCCTTGCCTGAAGCCACAAGCTCAAGGTTTGTGCGGTTTGCAATATCAGGATTGCTGCTATCCGCCCTGCGTGTTTGTGCTGCAGGTTCCTGATTAAACTCTCTCTTTCTGTGTTCTCATCCATTATCGGCTGAAGGAAATCCTTTCCACAAAGTGCTTCCTGTTCGGCACTCCCAAGCTGGAGAAAAGCGACTGAATGAAAGCAATGTTGTGGGCTTTTGGGTGGAGAGGGAAGAGGTGGGAGCAGGGTAGGGCGCAGGCATCTGAACTGCGAGGACAGGAGTGTCTGTGCGCCATTTCAAGCAGCTCTTGCATAGCCTTGCCACATCCTAATTAGTGGGGTTGGTAATGTTGCACTCACTTTAGTGAAGAGGCCCTGTTTAATGTGTTTCGGCCGCCGCTTATTCAGGATCTGGCCATTGTTGGGAAGGTCCTGTTCAATGTGTTTTGTTTTTGGGGCCCTAAAAATACGGGACCGAATCCAGAACATCCCTTTTAAAATAGTCTCCAAGGCCTCCCGGGCCCCTCAGTACCGTGGGGTCCTTATTCAGGACGTCAATTTTCGGGTGGCCCTATTGTTAGGGGGGGGAGTCCCCAAGATTAAAGAGGGTCCAACATTAAGCTCCAGGCTGCATATGCGCACAGAAGGTCAGACCTCAATTCAACTTGCGATCGATGTGACGACGCCGTGAGACAAAAGCTGAGAACGGGACAGGTTTCTTTTCGATAGGTTAGACGGCGCGCCACTGCGAACCTGGGTCATGGCATCTGCGCACCCTGTTCCTGGGCACCTTTATCCACATAATTTTCCGTGTCACTGGCTGTGCGACTCACCAAGGAGAACAACGTAGCTGAGCTGTGCCTGAGAGGCGCCAAGCACGGGCTTGAAGATACAGCGCTTCTGGTGCAAGCCCAGGGCAGGACCGCAGTCGCGCAGAAGAGACTGCGACGGAAGCCTTGCTACAGCAAAGCACGTGCTGCCAGAGATTTTTGGCTGTCATCGCTCATGGGCGGCCCTTTTCAGCTTTCCTTTTGTGCTGTCATTGTGGTCGGCTCCGCTGCGAGTGCCTCTGACATTTTTTCTTGCGACTAGCGCGACTAGAGCCTGACTTCGCAGTGCAGGCTTGCCTCCCGAGTCGAGAAAGTCCTGAAAGGACTCCAGGGTGGCCTGAAGTCAGGCGCGGGGGGTGAGCGGGGGGTGGGGGGGCGAATGCTGCAATGCAATACCTGCGTCCAAGCAACCCCTAGCTGCTCCAGCATCTCCTTCGCATCCTGCAACCTGGGCCAGTTGACTTGTTTTTTTGGGGTGGTTGACCCTAGTAAGAGAATTTTCCTTATATAAAATACTATACCCCAAAAGGAGGATAGAATCTTGCTCTATAATGGGTACCATAGTATCCTCAAATACAATACTACTCAGTTGAGCTTCAAAACGGAAACAGCCGCTGCCTGATGCTGTGTGCCCTGGACAGGCCTCATCGTTTCTTGAGGGTCTAGGCCCGCCTCAGCAGCTTCGTAGATGCTTCAACCCATGCAAAGGTGCACATTCGAAGGACGCAGCTTCAGCCATGAGCAGCACTTGCTCAGCCACGTCTGATGGCGAGCTTGAATCTAGGCGACGTTGCAACCAGCTTTAGGTAAACAGCATGATTGCAGCATGTTCATAGACTTTGGCCAGAACCCAGGCATCTGCCAACCACCTCCTTCAGCTGAAAGCCAGTCAAACACGCTTGGCTCTGACTCTCACAACCCTCGCGTCAAGTCGTTCTTGCCCAAAGGATTCCGGACTCAAATAGCGGCTCTTGGATGCCTGCTGCCCAAGCCAGTTCAGCAAAGACTCGCTATGCACAAAGCTAACGATGTCGGCCACTCTGACCTCTTGAACTGCACGACTTTGATGCATCAGCCATAGGTGCAAGTTTAGTTTCATGTCCGCTAAAGCCAAAGCCTCCTCGCCACATGAAGCTTGAGGAATGCGGACTAAAAGCAGAGATGTATGAATTGTTCGGTGCCCTGTCCGAACGCCACCTGGCATGCTGCATTAAGTTGAGGGATCGAGATCATGCCTTCCACAACTGGGCAAGACATCAGTCGGGACGCTAGCACAAAGGTTTGCAGTGCTTGCATTGTAAGGCTTCTTATCTTGACAAAACATACTTCGGCCTGCCATGCACAAATGAGGCATCTGAGACCATGTCCTTGCATGCAAGCGCCTCGCAGGTCATACAGGTTTGAGGCAGGTATACCAATGCTTGCTTGACCTCTTCAGCAGACCCAGACCCATGTGCTCAGAGGACACTGCTCCGACTGGCAATCCCTCGGCAATCCAAGCCCATGGCTCTAGGAAAGCTGCCGGCAGCAGGCGCCGCGCCATCATGGACGCCCGCCCTAATCCTCTTCAGATCTTTGATATTCTGTACGGTAAATTGGTCCCTTTTGCATGCAAAACACATGCATGGCTGGACTTGTGTTACTCCTTAATTTAGTCTTTCCCTTACAGAAATCCACTTCATGGAGCCATCGGCCAGGGTGCAAAAAGTTGACACAGCAGCGGAGATGTACCCTGCACTGGGCAGGGAATGTTGCTCGGAGCAAGTAAGCTTGGGACCATCAGTTGCGGGTTCTCTGCCCAGCGCGGGCCTGCTCAGCAAAGGCCAGTGAAAGGAATTAGATGTTTGTAGTAGCTCTGACATTAAAACAGCATGCACTGGCTTTAGGCTTCCAATTTCAGAAATCGGGCGCGCCTAACTTTTCCACTTGATCGATCAGAACCTGCATCACAGGCGCCGGCCTGGCAGTGACATCGAGTGGGACAGATCGCAAAAGCTGCTCTGCTGTGAAGATGTGATCAGATGAGCTGCTTCAGACAGCAAAAGTAGCTGACCATGTTGATCTGTGACCGAGCGATTTCAACTGATCAGGCTGTAAGGCTGACAGCGCCGTGGTCTGTGAGGCTGTAAGGCTGACACAGTGGCGTAGGATGAATCTGTGCCGGCGCCTTGTCTCTGAAATATCGTCAGAGGCTTCCATCTGTTTGCACAGGCTTGTCTCAGGACTTGACACCATTGCCGTGGATGCATGCAATTGCATGGATCGAATTGGCCTTGGAATTCGATGCAGTCTGTGCTTACAAGCTTGCTTACACACCCCTAGACAGTCTACCGCTAGGGTTGTGCACGGGCATGAATCCAAAGGCTGAAGCCAACTGTTGCATCTGAAAGTCCAAGTCCTTCCTCAGCAGCCGCGCCTGAGCCGCATCAGGCTTTAAACGGACCACTGGTTCATGCTTCTGAACAGGTTAGGTCCTGTAGCGCAGCCAGCAGCGCAGCAAACCTTGACAGCGCTTCTTGGAAAGCAGTCTCTCAGAAATAGGAAAACGGCGAACACCTCCCGCCTTCTGAGCCATCTTGGGCGCTCGATACGCTAGACTGTGGTCCGGGCTCTTCAGCGCAGAGCGACAAACGCGAGAGCGTGAGCAAGCAGTTTGCCACATGCTGTGCTGACCTGCCGGGCCACGTGTGAATAGCTCCTGTCGCATCCAATATGATGTCAAGGATGCTGAGGGCTGGGCAGTCTGGATGCGCTGGTCCGCAGTACTCCTGCCAGTCTTCGAGTCAACAGCTCCTGCAGCTGAGGGACATGAGCCAATTTAGATCCGCTGAGCTGGTTGATCTAATTTAGTGACCTTATGCAGCGCGAAGCGACCACAGGCATAGAAAACTTGCACCTCAGAAGCAAGATGAAGCAGTGCAGAGTCAAGTGAGCATTGTGAATCGGTATTGTCGCTTTGCGAGAAAATCAAACTGAGGCTGCTGCTTGCGTTTGCTGCTCTGCATTAGGCACAACATCCATTAGCCTCAAAGATGGCACGATTCTTCAGAGACGGCTTGTGCTGCACAGGTACAGAAAGCACAGGGCACTATCCAATTCTAGCAATGTACATCAGCTGTGGCATGCTGCGTTCATGGAAGACAGTCTTCTGGGGCATAGCCCTTATCCCATATCGTGTCTGCAGGGCAACATCATGTCCTACCGCCAATGATCAGGAAAACAGTGCTCTTTGCGAGTATGCGATTGACGCAAGGTTTCCATCAGTTCAAAGTCATTCGAGGAATGTGAGCCCGCACCCACATCCCCCCCCACACATGTCTTTACATGTGCGCTTCCAGTCCCGCTGAGTCCGCAATTGACAAAATTAAACATCTCGAATCAAGCTATGCCCTGCCAGGGTTGATGGATGAGGAATTTATGTGAATCGGACCAGCGGATGGCATGGCAGCTTACTTTCAAAGCTGCTGAAATACATTTCACAGGAACTGATCTGCGTTGTGGCTGGTCTTTCCCGATTAGGCCTAGCTTTGAGGCAGCAGCGCACGTGAGGCTGGACGCCTGTCAAAGAACAAATGTCTACATGAGGAACTCGTGGTGTCCTATCAATCGTCTATCTGCTTCCTGTTCTGCCCAGCCCTTCAGCCTAAGCTGCCATTTGTGAAACTGGTGCATGCATGCAATGCATGCAGCTGACGATGTCTTCAACAATGGCGCCATGAAATAGAATCAACTTGTTAAGGTTTCAATGCGGCAAGCGAGGGCGGTGGCATCCATCACGAGCCATTCTCTGTTTGAGCAAGCTACACAGAGGCGTGGCAAGTGTGTAAACACCACCGGCGCTCACTGGCGGAATGATGTAGCCAGTCCCGCGACGATACACTACAACACATCTCACCTCCACAAGGCACTGCCTTGCCCTTAGCCGTTAACCTGTGCAAAGGTATGGGGACCAAGACTTTGATGGGCTAGCAGGGGCAGGGGCATGCTTGTTTTCCAGTCGTTGCTTGTCATCCTGTGTGTTAGCTACATTGGCGATGTCAAAGCAGTAGCCATAAGGTGCCAAAGACAGGCTCACTCGCTGGTGGCGAAATCTTTGTCCCATCCAGTCTTGGGATCCTTGTACGGAATCTGCGGCGGCATGTCCTCCTTGTTGGCGCTGAAGTTCTTCATGTCCTTTTTGCTCTTCACGGTTGGCACCTGGGCTGAAATTGTGTTCCCTGTCCTTCGCCTTCAACTGTCCCTTTGAGGCCGGTGCATAAGGAGGCTTCATACTCAAACTTTCCATGTCGCTCCAGCCAAAGCTTGCAAACCATTTCTGAGTCTTGATGTTCTGGATGCCTGACAACAGAAAAACGGCAAGTTCAGCATCTACTCCTGCTTTACTCGCATGAAAGTCCAACCCAGCCTCCCTTCTTCATTGCGAGGCGCTCGGTGGGATTGCTGTTGCATAGGCCCTTAACCTGTGCTGGTCCGTAGCTAGGTCTGGGTGCAAACGTATGAGATCTTCTGAGCGGCGTCATCTTGCACTGAGCTCTGAACCAAAGCTTCCACGTCACCCTTGAGCTTCTTGGGGAAAACGACGGCATTGATTCCCTTCTGCACCTGCAGAAAGAGGCCACTGGCGCTGAAGCGTGGGAAACGCTCCTCGATCCTGACATTTCCTTTGGAAGTCTGGATGGCAAACTTCCAAGTACTAGTCCTGCAGTTCCGGCCTGCCTAGCAGGCTAACAACAAGCCACTGGTGCGGGCCTTGGCATAGATCTGCATGGGCGTGGCCGACTCAAATGGTGGGTGTCCTGCGACAAAACCGCAATTGGACTTCGTGTACAAACTGTATGTGACCGTATGTGCATGAACCTGACATCAGCTCGAAGGCGAGGATGCCCAACGTCCACCAGTCCACCGCGTGAGTGTGCCCTTTGGATGCGATCAGCTCGGGGGCAAAGTAGTCCGGTGTGCCACAAGTGGTGTACGTCTTGCCTCGGTCTGACCACTCTCTTGGAGCCGTCTTCCTGTGAAGTTTCCGGACCTACTCCGCAAAAAATCGCCGAAACAGAATCCAGCGAGAGCTTGGTAACAGCAACTGCCAAGGCACCGAAGATCACTTTGGCCAGGCCCATGTCGGTGAGTTTGACCTTGCCCTCCTCTGTCAGCAAGAGATTTTCGGGCTTCAAGTCCCGGAACACGATCCTGTCAAGTGTCAAGACCGCGGGGAAGTCAAAAAGAGCAGGCCGCAACAGCTTCGAGCAGAATGACAGCAGCGTTGCACTACAAGTGCAGCAAAGCATCTTCTTACCGTGCAGGTGCTCGAAAGCCAGCACGGTTCCAGCCACGTAGAACTTTGCACAGGCCTCATTACCCCACATGTTCCTCTTGTTGTAGGTCGCGTAGAGCTCACCACCTAGAGCCAGCTCAAGGAGGAAGTACAGATGCTCCGGCGAGTTGTATGTCTCGTGGAGCTTGACAATGAAGGCAGAATCGCACATCCTGGATTGGATGCGTTCCAGTTAGCTTCAGCTGGTTCTACAACATGCCAGCCAAGGAGCAGCTGCACGTTCTTCTCGCTCATGACACTGGCTTGCATGCCGCTCTTAACAACCTCAAGTGCGTACTCATCCTCTGCCCTCACGGGAAACCTTCTTGGACTTGCTATAGAAATGCAGCGATTCGGTCTGCCCAGGCATATATGCAGCGGGGCAGCGTATCCCTTGCTGAGGGCCTTCAGAGCAAACATGTTGCCACTCTTGGTCTCTTCGACAAGCTCCACGGCTCCAAAACCTCCACAGCCCAACAGGCCATGCCTCAGCAGCTCACTCTCACAACAAGCAGCTATCTGCAGCTTACTCCAGCATGGTGTCAAAGAAAGAACACAAAGCATAGCTCTGGTGGTCTGAACGAGCGGCTTTTTGAGATCCTTGAACTTGATGACCCCAAATCGCTTTGCATCCTAGCACGACAGAAGACACAGCTATCAAGGCTGCACGGGGATGCAGGGAAGCACGTGCTATGTAGATAAAGGTAAGAGCACGAGCTGCGCTGTGCTTAGATCAGGCGAGGATCTGCTGCAGCAGTTGGTGCCACCGACTTGGCCACCACGGTGTCGCCATCTTTGCCGCGCTTGATAAGCTCCGTCAGAGAGCCAAGAAGGACCTATCATAGTGCAACGGCAATGCATCGACAAACACCTCACGCAGATGCCCAAAGGAATGCCTCGAACGTTTCCTTGTCGACCCACAGCCTCAGTCGCAGGGATTCACGCGTCTTGGTCTCAAGCCGCCTTGCACCACGACTCGCACTTGCGGACATGGTACGTCCTGGCTCGATTGGACGTAACCTTGATCGTGGCTGCTCTGGGCTCCTTGTTCTCAAGCGCCTGCGCACGGGCTGCAATGAATTGAAGCGTCAAGCACGTTTCTGAAGTATGCGCTGCAACATCTTCCATCCGTAAAGGAGGGAGAGAGACAACGAGCGAGAGAGAGAGAGAGAGAGACAGCGAGAGAGAGCAAGCTGAGGCTCGATGCTTGCATTCCACAAGACATATGGGGGCACGTAGCCGCTGACACCCCGTAGACCCGCGCACGATGCCCATAGAGATTGCGACCACGGCAACAACACTTGACATTGCCTTCTCCCCGAAGTAAGGTGCTTTCTCTGGCGTTGCCCGCAAGTTGGCCACTTCCTGAATGGAGGCACAGCAAGTGACAGCTGAAGCCGTGCCGTGTCAAGATGCCTGCCTTGCCGTCTTTCAGCACAACCACGGAGCCTTCGACCAGCAAGAAGAATTGCGTGCCTGTCTCCTGAGAGATGGTCCACAGCCAGCTCTTCACAAAGCCCAGGCCTATAGGACTTTGGCAAATCACCCTAGGTGTTCATACTACGTGGAGGACCCGATGCGTTGTCAGGTGAGCGTTGAATCTGCGAACCAGCGGCGCCCTGCTCGAAGATGGTTTCGTCCTTGCTGAAAGTCATCTCGTGCATAGCTGCTGCCAACTCCTTCTTCTCGCCATCCTTCAGTGCTGCTGAGAACCTGAGCACATCAGACTTTGGAAGCAAGCTAGGCTAAAGAGAGACCTTGGCAGCTGCAGACAAGGAGTACTCTGCATTAAGCGTGCTTACTGCCCTGCTGTGCGCTTTTGTACTGCTGACCTCGCTAGTCAAGCCCCTGGAATCATGACGCCTGCTGCAACCACGGGCTATGAAGATGAGCAGCACGTCGCAACGCCCCACATAGTCCAAGTTCTGTTTCGTTTCTGCCTCGTTCGCGCGAAGCAGAATTTCCTGAGTCACAAGGTGTTGCCACACATCGTTATGCCCAAGCTGCCCATTGGCTACACTCGGCTAGCAGTCTGGCACTGGCTTCATGGCTCATTCAACCACGCTTCTTTGAATTGCTGTCGCGCCGTCACGAAAACCTCGGAGTCGACGGTTGCTGTGATCGTCGCAGCCTTGAGTAGGCAAAGCGTAAGACATGATTAAAGTGCGTGTTGTCGTGTGTTTTCTTGCGCGCTCACGTAGCAGACGTAGGCAAAAAGACAAGGCCAAAGGCCCAGGCAGCTGAGTCAAGTCAAGGCCAAGCAACTCGAGGGGCAAAGTATAGCAAAGCAAGCTCGCCAAAGCTGCCTCCGGCCTGCAAAGTCTGTCTGATGGCTTTTGCATAGCTTTAGCACGTGTCTCTCCATCCATGTGCTGAGTCTGCAGGTGCTTCCGTCTTACATCGCCGACCAATCCGCGGAGGCTCAACCTGACCTAGAGGCATCTGGTACATGATTTGGCTTGGCAGCCCCCACACTGCCGAGGCGAGCTTGGGTCAGTATTTGTGCTGCACACTGCTGGTGCATACCTGACACTGGGCGGACAAGAGGTCCTTACAGAGTGAACGTTATAATCCTGGCAGGGACAGATCAAGAGCATCCCAAATGAGGCGCAGGACAGCCTCCACCATGCCCAGCTGCGCAGCAGCAGCGGATTCTACGCCTTGTTGGAATGAAGGGCGCAAGAGCAGCGCTTCAGGGAAAATTTGTCTGTTCGTCTTGGCCCAAAAATACTGTTCCACGAAACCCTCCATGAGAATAGCCAATGCATGGCCAGCATGACCACAACATTGCGCATGGGCATGTGCAGGAGCGTGGTAGTCTCCTTTCTGCGACCAAAGGGCTTTGGCCCTCTTTGACATCTTCCGCCTTGGTGATTGAGAAGCTTCCTGTCCTGACGATGTAGAAGTAATCGGCCTGCCGGCATGATGCATCAAACAACTGCGTGTGGAGCCAAAGTGCTTGATCGTTCGCTTGGTGGGGGCCAAACATGACCATCGCCTGCATTTCATTTTGCTTGATGATGGCGGTGCCCTTGGCCACCGGCTCTTTCCACATGACGTCGGACATTGCCTTGATACGAGCCTCGCAGATGGCTCTTGAAAGTGGTCTCAGCTGCTTTGCCTGCAGAAGCCCGACCAGGCCTCATCCAAGTTAGCGATGGTATTCAAGTTGGTGTTTGCTTGCAGCGCCTTCTTGATCAGCCTCAGTATCTGGGCAAAGGGTCGCTGCAACAGGTACCGTGCACGAATGCTAGCACTGCCAAATTCTATCCTGGATGTTCTTGAATTCTGTTCCAATGCCACACAGAATGAAGGTGGACTGCAGCGACCAAGTTGCAGGTTTTCAACGGAAAGCACGGCCCGCATCATTCCAATCCAAGTAGCGCAGCATCGTCGGCTGACTTCTCACTTGGCGGCTTGATCTCAGCCTGCTTCCAAGTGTCGAGGAGTTTTGATTGTTCTTGGCAACCTGCCCACGAGCCTGAACAGCGACTCCACCTCCAACAGCTCCACGCTTCGGGAATTCCAATTTGTCTTGGAGGCCAAGGCCTTGCGGCGAAAACTGTCCAAACGCAGCTTCGCAGACCCGGTTCATCTAAAAGACTTCTGACAAACACAATGACCAGAATGCGGTGTCTCCACACACGGAGCATGGCGCCGCCCGGGTGACCGGATCCTGACCGGGCAGCATCCCGGTTTCCCGGTTTCCCGGTCAGCCCAGTTTCCCGGTCAGCCCGGTTTCCCG